GTTGATTCCAATTTCTAACAACCCTTTAGGGCAGGGTAGAACTGTCCCATAGGGTTTCCAAAGCTGTAAATCTTTACTGAAGCAGACTGCCCCATCTTTCTCCCATGGAATGGCTGGTGGGTTTGAACCACTGACTTTTTGGTTAGCAGCTGAATTCTTTAACCACTATTCCACCAGAGCTCCTCTACCTTTCCTAGTCATATAAAAATTTTGATGTACTCCCAGATGTCAGTCCTGATAAATCCTCTGTATTCTATTCAGCAATCACTCTTCAGGAGAATTCTTCCAGTCTGTAACTACTCTTCTATTTGGTGTTCTCCATTGGCTGCTATCTCATTCAGAATAAAAGCTATAGTCCTTATATGACCTTCAAGATCCTACACAATTTGACCTATTTTCTCTGACTGCACCACTAGACCCTCCCCTGCTTTACTAGACTTCAGCCTCACATGCTGTTTCTTTAACACGTCAAGCAAGTTCCAGCCTCAGGACCTTTGCACCTGCTGTTCTCTTTGTCTGAAAAGCTCTTCATTCTGGATATATTCATCTGAGCCGCCCACAAGCAGAACAGTAAGAGTTTCTTTCTTTTCTAAAATTTTTATTTTGATTTGGGTGAAAGTTTACAGGGCAAATTCATTTTCCCTACAGCAGTTCATACACATTTTGTTTCATGACATTGACTGTAATTCCCTACAATATAACAGCTCTCTTCCCACTTCTCCCTGTAGTTAACTCCTCCTTGTGTCCCTCCCATACACTCCCACCCGGCCCCCTAGCTGTCTCCCTGTGCAAACATTGCCCTTTTTATTCTCCCATGATTGATCTCTCCAGGCAGTGTATCTACCTGATGTAAATGGTCACCCTATATGCCTGTCTATTGTTTGGTTGGAAGCCACAGGAATGAATTCAGTCCCAAACTTGAAGAGTAACTAGGGGCTGCATGAATCTCCCTCTGAGTGGTTGACAGTGGTAGCTGGGCACCATCTAGTTCTTCTGGTTTCATGTAGCTGAGGATGGCATGGTCTACCAGTCCCTTGGACTAAGTGTTTCCATGCATCATGGTTTCTTCATTCTTCTTTGCTCTGGATGGAGAGAGACCCATTGTTGCATCTAGATGGCTGATTGCAAGCTTTGAAGACCCCAGTTGCTACTCACCAAAGTAGGATGTAGAACAATATTTTTGTGTAGTATGTTATGCCAATTGAGCTTGATGTCCCCAGAGACCATGGTCCTGAGCCCACAAGTCCAACTACTTGCTCCCGCTGGGTAGCTGGCTGTGGTCAAGAAGCCACCACAACCTTGTCCTTTGTCAGCTCTACTATACACCCAGACATTCTTACAGCACATAAAAATACACATGTAGAAACATGGTGTACTAGCCCTATACATGGCCATGGGCACACTCCTCCAGGCCTAGACATACCTGATAGTTCAGCCTGTCCACCCATCTATCCATCTGTAAATAAATGCTTATCATCACTGACAACACAGTACATGCAAAAGGGTTCATCCTTGTTGTCTGTACTTCCCATGTACCTCTCTAGGTCTTCCTCTTCCTCAGTGCCACCATGTTGATCATTCACATTTGGTACATTGCCTTTCTATTCACCCAAATAAATATTTGCCTCTACCTATCCAACAGTGTTTCCTCTTCTCCCTTCCCACCTCTGGTAACCAACAAAGAAAGCTTCCTTCCGTATATAAACCTTTCCTTGACTTTTACAATAGTGAACTAATACAATATTTGTCCTTCTCTGATTGCCTTATTTCACTCAGCATAATGTCCTCCAAGTTCATTCACATTATGTGGTGTTTTGCAGATTCTACATTATTCTTTAGTGTTGCATAGTATTGCATTGTGTGTATGTACCATAGTTTGGTTATACATTCTCTTGTTGATGGGCACTTAGTTTGTTCCAAGTCTTTGCTATGGTGAATAGTGCTGTGATGAATATGGATGTGTATACATCTGTTCTTATCCTGGCTCTCATTTCTTTAGGATACATGCCTAGCAATGGGATTGCTGGATCAAATGGTATCTCTAATTCCAACTTTTTAAGGAATCTCCATGCTGCTTTCCATAGTGGTTGTATCATTTCACAGTCCCACCAGTAGTGTACGAGAGTTCCAATTTCTCTACATTCTTGCCAGCATTTGTTATTTTCTGTCTTGTTGAACTTTGCTATTAGTGCTGGGGTGAGATGGTATCTCATCGCTGTTTTGATTTGGATCTCACTAATGGCTAATGATCATGAACATTTCTTCATGTGTTTGTTGGCTGCCTGAATATCTTTTTCGGTGAAGTGTCTATTCATGTCTTCTGCCCATTTGTAAATTGGATTGTTATTTTTTCATTTTTGAGATGTTGGAGAAAATAGGTCACAAAAGGTGACCCCCATCCCCAAAACAATCAGCCCTCCTCTCCTGAGCTTTCCTTAAGTGGTGATGATAGCTCCAGAGGTTTCAGTGTCAGGTCATCTAATCTTTCTACATAGTCTGTCCTAGTTGTCAAAGGAGGAGCCCAAAGATCAGAAAAATGAAGCTTCTGGGTTGTGGAATCAGGTAGATTTGGCTCAAGTCCTTCATCTGACATTAATAAATAGCATGGTCTTGGACAAGTTAGGAGCTCTGGTGGCATAGTGCCTAAGGCATCTGACTGCTAACCAGAGGGCTGGCAGTTCAAACCCACCACCCATTCCTCAGAAGGAAGGTTGGGCAATCTACTTCTGTAGTGATATTGCCTCGGAAACCCAAGGAGGGGTCGTTATGAGTCGGATCTGACTCGATGTTAGTGAGTTTGGTTTTTTGTTTTTTTTTTGGTTTTGGGCAAGTTATGTAAGCCTCTACATCAATTTCCTTATGAAGTGAAAATGATAATGCCTATGTCATGGGGGCTTTATAAGAGTGTCTTGTCCACAATAAATATTCCAAACCTGTGGTTCAGAAGGCAGAAGTGGATCACTCATAGAATTCTCACCTTCTATGCAGGAGACTCTGTAGTGATACCACCTCGGAAACCCAACAACGGGTTGCTGTGAGTCAGAGTCAACTGCATGGCAGTGAGTTTGGTTTTCTGGTTTATGCAGGAGACTCAGGTTTGACTGCCAACCAATGTACCTCATGTGAAGCCACCACCGTTTATCAGTGGAGTCTTGTGTATGATATAGAACAGAGCTTCCAGACTAAGATAGACTAGGGAGGATGGTCCACTTCTGAAAGTCAACAATGAAAACACTCTGGATCCCAGTGGTCAGATTCCCTTGTGCATGGGGTTGCCATGAGCCAGGGGCTAATTCAAGGGCAGCTATCAATAACTATGACTCAAGATCAGTGGACATTGAAGTTGAAACCAGACTTCAGAAATGTGTTTGTGACCTTGTTACCTGGGGCTGAGCTTGTGTATATAGTGAACACTCCTGCCCTAACCAGTGAGACTGACTTTACATGCCATCATCTGCACTGTCTCCCCAGTGGCTCTTCCACCACATAAACCTGAGTGGTCCACTTCTTCCCCAACATGAGTGCAAGCTTGACTGCAGGCTTAGTCTCCAAACACCCTGCCACCCAGGCATATCACGACCCTACCTCCTCTCTGCTCTCATCTCCTCCCTTTGCCCGAGGACCTTTGCTCCAGGCATCTCAAGAAACAGTAATTAACTAGTGATCCTTGAGCTTAGCTGTTAGATCCATCATGCCTCTGTCCAACTTCATTGGCATTTGGCCATATTTTCTCCATCTCCTTTGTGAGTTCTCATGAGAGAGTGTCTGAAATTCAGCCACACTGCATCATCTGCATTCCCCTGTCATTGCCTATCCTAAACAGAAAAGAGGCTAGTGTGGTGTGACTAGTTTTTGGGGCATACTTATTGTCTTATACTATTTTACCTTCCATCCTCTTACCTGGGAGCTCTGGTAGCATAGTGGCTAAGACACTTGCCTGCTAACCAGACGGCTGGCGGTTCAAACCCACCAGCCACTCCTCGGAAGGAAGGTTGGGCA